AAACCTTAACTTCCTAATCTGCCGGTTCCAACCTAGGCTCCCAGGCTCCGGAGAAGCCACACGCGCCAAGAGCGGCACCCAGTAAGATCTGGTCTGGCAACTGCTTGGCTTCGGACATGTCCTGGAAGGTTTCAGGAGGTTTAGGGTATTTAGGATTTCGGGGTTCTAGGGTTTAGGGTGTAAGGTTTAGGGTTTAGGGTTTAGGGTGTAGGGTTTAGGGTTTAAGGGGGTTTAGGCTTTAGAGGGTGGGATTAGCGTTTGAGGAGCTTAAGCGGATGAGGTTAAGGCTTTAGAGGGTCTAGGGGGTTGGAGGTTAAAGTGATTTAGGGGATTAGGGTCTCAGGATTTTGGGGTTTGGAGGTGTGAAGGGCTTCAGGGGTTCGAGGTTGAACAATATGCCTGCGTAAAAAGCTGGATTTTAGCAACTCGACCCTGGCTATGCTTGAAGTTCCCAGACATGCTGCGGAGAGTCAAGGCTTTGGAAAGCTTAGTCCTGGCTTTTACTGATGGCTCACATTGAGGAAAGTAGAGTTTCTGAGTCTACTTACCAAGTTGATGATGTCCTGGATTCGGTTGCAGGCTGCCCACACACAAGCAAGGTCTGGTGTTGCATATAACTCAACTACTATGCGTCTGAACATGTCAGAGTCTAAGCACTTAGCTGTCTTAAGTCTGCACCCGCCCTAAACCCTACACCCTAAACCCTAAACCCAAACCCTGAACCCTAAACCTAGACCCTAAACCCTATGCATAGAAAACTGGAAAGTACCCGGGGCCAGGACCAACCTCCCAAATGTACTACCACTCCCCAGAGATGTGGAGCCATCATTTTGAGCACCCGTGAGTCACGGTTCAGGGTCTAGGGAGTAGGTATATTAAGGCCTATTCACTCCACATTTGAAAGCTATTACTGGGCTACTACTGTAGGGGGGAATGACCTAAGAGCACCCCTCAACGCGAACCAGTTCTCCCTAAAATCCGCACGTAATCCCCCTGAACACCATGCATCACGCCTGCAACTTTGAGAAATGCCTACACTGGAGCCCCCAAACGACAGATCACTACGAAACTCTCCTTTCACAGAGGATTATGACGGAATTTTAAAGGATCTTCCCAATTAAAGGGCCTAGGGTTTAGGGTTTGGGGTCTGGGGTTCAGGGTACGGCTGGGGATTTGACTCCACAGGTCCTGGAGAACGTGCACAACTTCACGCCAGCGGCGCTGCCGGCCAAGTTGCGAAACGGTTTTTGTGGCAGACTTCAGATTCAAATTGCCATTCCTGGACCAGAGTCGGGTTATTGAGCTGCAGTTCAGGAACCAAAGCAAGTTATTGTAACATGGAAACCCAATCATTTGCTACACACCCGTCGTATGGTAACTTGATTTAAGTTCTTTAACAGCCAACCAAGTAAGTCTGGATCTAGACAAGTACGTTGCGGGGATGATATTATTCATCTGCCAGTTTTCCTAAGAATGATCCAATCTCAGTGTCCGTGGAGCTTGCGCAGTCCGAAAGGCAGCCTCCATAATAGCCATGACAGTCTAGTCTTTCATTCGATGAGCACCACACATGGCTCGATGTCAAGACAAAGACTTTGTCGCGGAGTACGCGGGGCGGTATAGGGATTGAAAGGAATGCTACAAGGATGCAATCCCTAAACCCTAAACCCTAAACCCTAAACCATTGTCCTTTCCAATAGTGGTCTAGATGGGGCGTGAAGCTTGCTTCTGGGAGGGTTGGTCCAGTCCGACTGCTTTGCTGTGATTACGTGGGGTCTGATCAGCTAAACGTCAAACGTGGAGCTATATAGGGGTTATAGTGGGGTTGTATTGGGATAATGGAAAATAAAGTGGAAACTACAGGAATTATAGGGGTTTTTTGATGGGCTGCTGCAGCATTCTTCTTGCTCCAAAGGTCACGGCAGAAAGCTGCAGGCGTCGATCTTGCCACTCACACTGCGTCACTGATATCTCGGGCTCAAGCTGAACTGTGTCTGCCGCAACTGCCATGAAAAGTCCAGTACTTGGTTGCTGTTACGGATCTTAAAACAAATCAAAAGAATAAGGGGGTATATGGCAGATGATAGGGGTTCCTTGTTATTGTAAATAAATGTAAACTCCTTAACAGCAACCCAGAGTAGTACCCCTGGCTGCACCGTCTCTGAATCTTTTGCCAGCCTCTTTTGCATCAGGCGACCTCTAATCAAGAAAATGCATGATTTGCAGCATGCTGCGCTAGGGAGGTCGTGTCGCATCCTATCTGGCAATGTTGAAAACCCTCCTGGTCTATCCTAAACGAGAAGATGCCTCCGAGCAAACACCCTAAAGCAGAACACCCCGTTTGTTGGAGATTCCAAACGAGGAGCACAACACTCCTTCTGCGGTCTACGAGGGTGAAACCCAGACCGGCATCGACGTGAGGCTGAGAAGCACGGCGCGAGCAACATGCTCCTGTCGCGCAGAGGCTGCGCTGGTTCAACATAGGCTGAGGGACTGCAATCACGCTCAGCCGAGTGACCTACGGCACATAAGGGTTTCAAAGCCACGCTCAAGATTTAAGGGTTTGCGAAAATTAGGGGTACCATTTGGGAGTCCCCATAGTAAAGACTGTAGTAGATTGGGGTCCATATTGAGGGTCCTCTTATTTATGGAAGCTACCATGTGTTTGCCTGCCCCGCAATGTGGGGAAGAAGAGCTGCACGAGTGACGCCGCGGCCGTGAGGCAAGCCGCGACTGCGACTGAAGCTGTCCCGCTTCACCTGCCAAACTCCCAAACTCCATGCGATGCAAGGGGGCTATATAGGAATTATATACGGGTTAGGTAGGGATTAACTCCATGCTATGCAGTGTGGAAGTCCAACAAAATGCAGCAATACAGTCCCCAATTGCCTGGTAAGTGCCAGGGAAAAAGGATCAACGCAGATAACTCAAACTTCGAAACATAAGGTGCGCTTGCCTAACAAAGTTTTTGGGATAACTGGAAATTGACTGTATGACCGAACGCCGTCTTGAATGTACTGGTAGAGCAGCGAGCACCGAGATCCACACAATCATTCTCTTCATTTCAATTTTTGGAACGCCTAAGCCCTCCATATCCCTACATAACCCCAATAGAATCCCTGTAACCCCCAAAAAGGGGCCCCTAGTTTTGGGAATACTGGAGCCCTAGCAGATCCTCTGCGAAGGAACTGGCATAGATTTCTCAGGCCTTAGCCCCGGCACTGAGGAAGATCGAAGGGCTGTTGCCAACTGCCATGACACTGCGAAGACCTCAAGCAAGAAACTGTCTGTTGCACCTCCCGTTTGGTTGTCATGTAATTCCACTGGGTTGCTGTTAAGGAACTTGAATTGGGTTACTATACTGAGGCGGACCAATTAGATTTCTGTATACCTGTATGATGCTAACTCAAGTTCAGTTCCTTAATAGCAACCCAGAATAGTGGCCTAGGGGTTTAGAGTTCAGGATTTAGCGCTTACCCATTAAGAAGCGAGATGTCTGAATCCGAATAAAATGGTTTTTCCGGGGGTACCTGAGGCTGAGAAAGCATCAAGCATGAGGCTTCGGCAGATCCAGCGAGGCGTGCAAAGGGGGGGATGCGGCACTGAAGCCAAATGCTGCAAGCCACTGCTGTACTCAAAGGTGTCTGGTCAGTTGCAACCATGGAGCCAGAAGTGGGATGTCTATACCTGAAGCCTTCTGGTAGTTTCCATTCAAAAAGAAGACCTCAATGTAGACCCTCATACTCATAAGCAGCACTAGAATGGCCCCCAATTTTGGAAACTCCCTTATAGCTTTGCTTGGCACCACAAATAACTTCAAGCTAGCTTCAGGAATCTTGGAGCAGTGCTTGCCCTCTCACAGTACACACCGAGGGAATGGATAAAAATCTGTAAATTTGTAGCAGCCAGAGTATTGGGGGTACTACACGCCCTAAACCCCAAACCCTAAACGTGAAATAGGGACTATGATAGGGATCTCTCCTCTATTCCCTACTACCACCAATAGGGAAGCAGATCCAGATGTCATGGGCGCTGGTTCTGCATCTCTGGGACACAGGGTTTACGGTTTAGGCCTAATCAGCAGACGCACGCTCACTTGCGCTGTAATCTAAAGTTTAGACTTTTGCTCAAGTGACTCTTGCTCAAGTGAGCGTGCGTCTGCTGATCAGGCCTAAACTCCTAGCATACCCCTTAATAACCCTGTAACACTCCGCTATAAAATCTCCTATATAAACCCCCTTCATGGAGTTTAGACTATCGTTGAATGTCCTGGAGCTTGAACGGGAAAGCCAAACAAACCACGTGACCCCAATGTAGGCTCAGGCTTCAGGATCTCAACAGTAGGCCGATCACATAAGCTCCGCATAGTTTTAAGCTGTAACCTGCAAAGAACCGAAAACATCAAGCATCGCAAACCTAAACCCTAAACCCTAAACCCTTTAGTAGGGCGTGCCACGCGATCATTGCTCACAAAGTCAGCACACATAAAAGCTCAACGGAACCAGGGCCAGTTTGCTCATGTCTTCTTTTCTGGGCTGTTAAGGAACTTAGTTTAAGTCATTATACTGGGGACACCCCATTATATTATATATAATGGATAAATATACCCATGGTGGTAACTATATTTAAGTTCCTTTAACAGCAAACCCCGTTTTCCCCTCGAACAAAAGGTGGGCATTTGCTACGGCCCCGCTTTGCGACCTGCATCAGACCCCGTCTGCCATGGAGGAAAACAAGCGGAAAAAAATATTTATAAAAATGACGTCGTATCCAAAATGTATTACACAAGTAATGACTGCATGTAACACAAGGCAGCCTCCTGGTACAGAGGGTATGTCGCGAAGCAGAGCAAGTTGCGAATGCTGCACGCTCTAGGACTTCTGTACATGCTAAACAATTCAATTTTTGGAACATGTCCAAACCCAAACAGATTTGGTTCAATTCATCTGTAAGGGCCGCAGGAATAGTTTCATTGCAACCTTGTTCCCTTCATGCAACCCTCATGGTGCCGACTGTAAGTCACGTGTGGGCACAACTGCCACCCAAGCATCCTTGTTTGGCTTGGCGCTGGTACCACAAGGATGGAGATCTGGTGGTGTACTCTGCACCGCATTCTCAGTAGTGATGGCTGTGCCACCGTGCATCACTGCTCCAATTGCCAGCTGACCTTCGCTCAGCGTCAACGCTGCTGGTTTGCCCTTGTTGCTTTCGGCACCGAAGGTCGTCCAAAGCAGGCGCTTGTCAAGTCCTTCTGTGAAGACAATGAGGCTGGTATCGCTGCCGGCATAGCCTCCCACACTCTGTCCCGCGAAGGTCATTGTCTCCCTATCCGCCAAGCAGCAGGTGGACGTGCCAGTGAGATATCTGGACCATGGCTGGGGCACTAAGGATTCGCTTCTTCCGAAAAATTGCTGAACTGAAGGAGCACAATGCTTACTAACAATGACCTGGATACACGGCACCATTTTGGGCGTCATGCACGAGACCACCATCGCGCGTTCGGAACGTGTTCAAGCGACCCTTCGATTGCAGGATTGGCGCGACAAATGTCCCACTCTCGACCTGAACATCATCCAAATGTGGAATTCGATATGAAACCCTAAACCCTAAACCCTAAATAGCTCCCCCCGAAACCCTAAAAAGTCCCCTATAGGTCCCCCCAACCCAAATTTAGTCCGTAGCTCATATGGCCCTCAGTTCAAAGAAGCCCTACACCGTGAACCCTGGACCATCTTTACGGTCTACCCCTTTAGCTCCAATTTAGGGTTTTAGGTTTTAGGGGTTCAGGGTTTAAGGTTTTCGGGTTTAGGGTTTAGGGTCTAAGGTTTTAGGGTTTAGGGTCATGCAAACCCCGCATGAACCTTGAGCCCTTAAAAACCCTTCCGTAATTCTTTCTGGCTAGAATCGAAGCATGGATCCCTCTTATAATAGCTCCTATGTAATCCCTAAAACATTGTGAACTCCATTATTTGACTACATCAATCAAGCCTTAACAACCCCAGTCTCTAAACCCAAAATAGTAGCTTCCATCTTCTTTGCCAATCTCTGCCAACAACCAGCAAGATGCAACCCTACAAAATCTAATCCAGAAAAAAGGATCCAAGAATTATATCCTCAAGATCACATGGGCAATATGAAGATTTCGAGCCCTAAGCCCTAAGCCCTAAACCCTAAACTCTAAACCCTAAACCCCTAAACTGATCCATACTGGCCAAATGTTGGGCTCTCCATCGACAATCCCAACTCTATAGTTGTAGGGTTTCATCGTAAAGCTAATTTTCACTAAAGCTAATGTTCACTCTATTCCTTATACGGTCTAGGGTTAAGGGTATAGGGTTTAATTAATGTATGTGCAACTCTATATTCCTTCTTGCGTTTTTGTATAACATATGAGCTGCAGTCAACATCCCTCCGGAAAATTCATGGACATGGGTTGTTGACTATACTAAACTACAAGTTGTACCCCTATGTCCACTGTGAAGGGCCCCGTGATAAGGCGAATATTGACAGTAGCCCATATGAAGAAGTAAAAATGAAAAACCTATGGGAACTTCCCTAAATAGGGGAACCCAATATAGGCCTCTAAATACTATAGCCCTTACTATAGGGACCCCAAAAATGTACACCTAATTACGGAAAGGGAGACAGATCCATTTGGAGGCTCATGTGATGCACATGAATTACGATGTAGAGCTAAAGAGATTCTAGGTTTAAGGTTTAGGGTACCCCAAACCCAGGGCATACTTGGAGGGTCAGGGGGGCTTAGTAAGTATACTTTTTGCCCTTATAAACCATTTAGTAACCCCCATTATCCCCATTATCGACCTACTTACTAAGTCCCCCTGATCTTCCAAGTAGGGTTTAGGGTTTACGCCCGAAGCCCTAAACCCTAAACCCTAAACCAAGCCAACCCTGCTTCCATTTCATGGGCACTTGCTTGTCCATTTGATAACCATAGCCTTAGGGTTTAGGGTTTAGGGCTTTAGGGGTTTAGGGTTTTAGGGGTTTAGAGTTGGTTAGGTGGACTCCCCACCCAGTAATTGTGACTATATGGAATAGTAAGGAATATATTAGGGTCCTCGTATATTCCTATTATACCACCATTACAGGGTGCGGGGGGTCCTCCTAAACCATACCCTGCTTACAACCAGAAGTTGAGTCCCTGAATGACAGGATAGTTTCCTATCTTTTGTCCGTATATGGGGGTTTCCCAAAATTAGGGGTACCATTTTGGGGTCCCTTTATTTTGGGAAACTACTATATCTCTATACATCCCTACATACCCCTATATTATATGGGGTTTGTCTTGACTATAACCTCAATTTGGATTACCCCAGAGCTTGAGGGGTCGTAGCAGAACCGGGACTCAGAAGAGATCACTGTTTTGACAACCCACCCATGCAAACCATAGCTCAAAACCGCCTCTACATACCCCTACTTGAAGGGTCAGGGGGACTTAGTAAGTAGGTGGATAATGGGGATAATGGGGGTTACTAAATTGTTTATAAGGGCTATAAGTATACTTACTAAGTCCCTTATAAACCCTTTAGGAACCCAATTATCCCCATTATTGAACCTACTTACTATGACCCTCCAAGTATTATAGTTCCCTTCAAGTAGATAGAATATGGGGTATATGGGAACCTTATGATAATATACCCAAAGCCATATTCTATCTACTTAAGGGGGACTATAACCCTCAGAAACCCGCAAGGAGAGTGGTGGCAAGCGGCTCCGGACACAGGCGAAGGGGATGATCTACGGGAGGCCAGAGAACGCGAAGCCTGAGCGGCGGCGAGGTTAACAGCTGGTTAGGGTTGAGGGGTTTAGGGATTAGGGTTTAGGGGGTAACCAGGTTACAGAGGCTCCCAGTTACCTAAATAGTGGGAACTGGGTTCTACATATATATATATATAGTGACATAGCCGAATAGCTTAATATTCAAGTAACCGCAAGCCCTAGGGGGTTCTGTTCTAGAGAGTCCTGTAGTCCCCCTTAAGTAGATAGAATGCGGAGCATATGGGGATCTTATTATAACATACCCAAGCCATAATCTATCTACTTAAGGGGGTCTATAGGTTTTGGGTCAGGGCTTGAGTTTCTTGGGTAGATAAAATAGAACTCTCTAGGACCTTCATTGGGCTGTAAGCACGTCCACCTTCTAAATCAGCTTATAGCTACCCCCGAACCTTCAATGTAGGGGCTACAAAGAGTTCAGGCTTGAGTGTGTTTTCTTCAACATAGGCTGCCCGTAGAGAAAGGGAAGGGACTATGTGGTTGTTGTTGAGAAGCTTGCGTCCAATCTTCGCAAGCTACGCCTTGGCACTTTTACTTTTTTCCCAAATCCTGAGGGTCCAAGGACCCACATAATAGGATTTTAGGGCCCAAATACCTTCAATATTTTAATATTTGGGCCCTGAAGCCCTATTATTTCGGTCCTTGGACCCTTAGGGAAATATACAGTGCTGACGGTGGATCGCCACCAGTAAAGTGCAGCACCAACCCCATAGTCAAAACAAGGACGCATGCACCTTAGAGAACCTTGTCCCTAGGGATCCAAGTATATACATAATACCAATGATGGAGAATGAAAAAGAAAAGAGCATGGAACATGACATGGAATCCGGGGTTGTAAAAGGGGTTATATAGGGATCCAAGTATACAAATAATACCTACATGGGGCCCCAAAAGTCTGTAAATATTGCCTACATTGGGCTATTTGGATCCCTAGGGTTTGTTGTTAAAAAACAAGGTACGGAGCGGCAAGGCCATGTCTGGAATCTGAACAGCGAGAATGTTGGGGGGCATGCCCTGGTCAAATTCTTCAGGCCTTATCAGAGTAGTTTCCATTCTCTTCCATTATCCCAATATAACCCCTATATTATAACCCCAGTATAACCATATAACTCCCCGAAACCACTCTGTTGTATACGGACCTGAGAAATCTCAACAAAATCATGTGGGGCATTGGCTATCATGTACCACACACAAGAAAGGAACATCAGCGAAAACAAATGCCCTAAACCCTAAACCCTAAACTCTAAGCTCTAAACCCTAAACCCTAAACTCCAAGCCCTAAACCGTAAACCCTAAACCGTAAGCCCTAAACCCTAAGCCCTAAACCCCAAAAAACTGCCCAGAAGCATCCATGCGGCTGCCTCCAGCCTGACATGGCTTGCTGGCTCACCTTATCTACCCCGCTGAAGCCTCAACCCTATGAACCCTAAACCATGCCGACCCTGCAAACTCATAACCCCTACAATACCCGCAAAACCTAAACTGGGTTTAGTCAGCAGCATATTCCAGGCTTCACAAATTACAAGCGGCTTCCGGCAATGTGTTGATTTAGTGAATTGGGACTGTCTGTGCTGTCAGAGAGACGCAGGGCAGGGTTTAGGGATATAAAGGGGTTATATAGGGTTTTGTATAGGGGTATATAGGGATAATGGAAAAGAATATGGAAACTGCTACGATGCGGTTATATCGTAAGGCTTTCGGAGCTGGCAAAGGGTTCGCTTTCTTGGGGGAGAGGTTCGGCCACAGAGCTTGGGAAACGGTCTAGGGGAAATACCACGCATGTGTATTAGGGCTTCTATCCCTTCGCAAATGTACAGGGGTAGTTGGAGCACGGACCATATTTTGCCGTGGCGTTTTGCTCAAATTGTCACTCTTTTAGGAATTTCGTGCATACGTTTACCAGAGCATCCATGCGCTAACCATGATAACATCCATGTTTGCGAGCATACGTTTACCAGAGCATCCACGCCCAAACCATAATAACATGCATGTCATCGAGAGCATACGTTTACCAGAGCATCCATGCCCAAACCACAATAACATCCATGTTATCGAGAGCATACGTTTACCAAAGTATACATGCCCAAACCATAATTACATCCATGTTTGAGAGCATACGCTTACCAAAGCATCCATGCCCCAACCATAATAACATCCATGTTCGAGAGCATACGTTTACCGGAGCAACACGCCCAAACCCTAATAACATCCATGTTCGAGAGCATACATTTACCAGAGCATCCATGCCGAAACCATGATTTCATCCATGTTATCGAGAGCATACGTTTACCAGAGCATCCATGCCCAAACCAGAACAATATGGATGTTATCGAAAGCATAATAATAACATCCATGTTCGAGAGCATTCGTTTGGCAAGGGAAGTCTACAGCTAAACCCTAAACAGTGCATAAGAGTGAGTCATTTCTTGTTTCTTGCATTCGTTTTACTCATGTTTCTGAAATCCTTGCAAAACCAGCTAAAACGCACATTTCGCTGCAAAAAAAAAAACACAATGGCAAAATATGGCCCGTGCACCGGGTAGTTGAAAAGACTAGGATGACTAGAATTGTTTACAAATTTAAAAGCCAAACATGCAACCACTTATTGGGTCCTCCCTTATCATCTGTGCAACCGCTACCTTGGGGTCAAAGTTTAATGTGCTACATCCGTATGGTCTATCCTAAGCCCTAAACCCTATCCCTAAGTTCTACAGGATCCTGGCTGCTGGGCTAGTATAATACACTCCGATGTGTAACCCCAACTGCATCTTTTTACCATGCTCTGGGGTTTCCAAGCAGGCTTAAGACTTGGCGGTTAGGGATTGAAATTTAGGTTTAGAATTTAGGGTTGAGGGTTGAAGGTTTATAGGATTTCGGATTCAGGGTACGGACGCTTTGGGGTCTGGGGCTTATAGTGGTCTGGGATTTAGGCCAGGTAGTATTACCATTACTAGAATAACAGACCCTCACCCGAGCGCGCCTGCGCTAGACGGCGCGAACTTTGCGCTGCCAATCCGGCGCGGTTTCCGGCGATTTAGGTTAATTTGGGGTTCAGGGTTTAGGACTCCCAGCTACCTAATGAGTAGGTTACTGGGCTATGTAACTATATAGGGTACATTGAACCCAGAACCCAGAATTTAGGTAACTGGAGCCCTAGGGTTAGTCAAGGGTAAGGGTTTGGGAGCAAGACGCTACCGCATACTCATTGCGCTATGTTCAGAAACAAAGGTTTCAAAATTCCTTGGGGTATGTTAAAATAGAAATGGAAAATAAATCCTGAGGAGACTACAGCATAGGGCTTATGGCCTTAGGGTCGAAATGATACCCTATACCCTAAGCCCCAAACCCTTGAGAGCGGGGGGGATTTCGGTGCCTAAAGAGAGTGGTCTTGGGGGCTTAGGGTTCAGGGTTTCGGGTTTGGGCTTATAAGGTCTAGCGGGTGCCGTTTAAGGTTCAGAGCTTCAGAGCTGGTTGAGGGGCTGGGCCCCAAACTTGATCACAAGTGCATGTATCCTACATTGGGCCCAATGTCTATAAACAGTACCTACATTGGGCTATTTGGAGCCCTAGAGTAAAATTAGAATGTCAAAATCTGTAGCAGATACGTCTGTTGGGACGCCTTTTCTCTACGACACATCTACACATCCTGCGCATCAAGCATGCAATCAGACTCATTAAACAGAGAACATGAAGCGCTCCCCGCAATACACTAGTCTAGATTGCCGCAAATGTAGTCCTGCGGAAGTCTCTGCAACAAAAAACCAGGAAGCCTTCCACAATGTACACGCACAATGAATCGCATTCCTCAAGAAATTGCTGGAATGAATGTTTTGAGCCAACAATTGCGATCTATGCTCTGTGCAGCGACAAAGCCTCTAGTGCATCTCAGTCAGGAAACAAAGCCGTTAATTTGAAAACAGCACCCTTGTGCAATATTAAGCTCCCAAGGCATAGTCTTTGCAGGAGTTTGGTCTTGTCAGTAACATTGACACATGTTGAGCTTCTACATGCACGGAGTAACCCTAAGGGTCCAAGTACCTAATAATCATATACTTCCCCAAAACCTGTACTACAATTACTACTACCCAAACCCCAAGCACCTAAATATTGGGTACTTGGACCCTTAGGGTAAGTGACTATGAACTGTCAAGCTGCTGCCTGGCTCCAGAAGCTGGATGTTTCTGTGGACTATTACACCATGATTTTTCCCTAGAAGTATTGGGTTCCTGTCCTTAAGTCCCTATATACACTTATACTATCTATAACCCAAGAACCTACTATATGGGTACCTGGGCTTCTAGGGCAAGCATTGATTACAAGGGTTTATAGAGGTTTGAGGTTCACGGGGCTTAAGGTTTAAGGTCCAGCTGCCTC